ATGCGCAAATTTGACATTTGAAAATACAGATAATTGCTATACACTGAGTTTCTATTTAAATGTAAAATAAATATCTTTTGAGTACACACAGAGAAGATATATGTTGATATGTTATGCTTTAAACTTTACACACTAAAGGTTTAAAGACTGCAGGAATACATAGTGTCATATTTTTTTAAAGGAAATAATCATATCAACTTGGCCAAATATAGGGACTGCAGCTTCCTAAACTTAAAAAGCAGCATAGTAATGTTCTGAAACATTTTGCAGTCAATCCTGAGAACAAAGGACACTTGAAGAGGAAAACCATAGACAAATGGTCTTTATATAAGGGTTACTCTGTTCTATTAAACCAATGAACAGTTGTTGGAAAAAGGTCTTTTATTTACAGGGTGATCCAGGGTTCCTTTTGGGTCAATTTTAGTTTGTGCCACCAAATTTGCTAGTCAGAAAAAGTTGCAGCCAATGGCTTCAAAGTTGGAGTCATTAATTTTGCAAAGGAGACTGTGAGGATGCCTAAGCAGAGGTGGTCTTTATAAACTCAGTTTTAACTGTAATTCAGTTTATGACCTTTATTCATATGTGTTAAATTACAAGTGTCATTCTATGTAATTGTAATGAGTCTTTTTAGAATCGACCTTAAGATTACTTAAACAACATAATTTTACTGATTATGAATTTTATAAAGATATATCATTCAATATAGCGTTATACGTTTTATATTGCAGAAAAAGATGAAGAAGAAAGCTACCCGAAGTAATAACTCAGACAATAGTCGGGAAGCACCGAAACCAGCTACCACAGCTTTGATACCTAAACGGCAGAGGCGTCTTATCATATCTCCAAAACCTAATTACAGTCTTAACTTGTGGGGCATCATGAAAAACTGTATAGGAAAAGAACTTAGTAAAATTCCAATGCCAGTAAGTTGTACTTAGTAAAATTCAAATGCCAGTAAGTTGTGATTTGTAAAATTCCAATGCCAATAACTTGTACTTAGTAAAATATTAATGCCAGTATGTTGAACTTAGTAAAATTCCAATGCCAGTAAGTTGTACTTAGTAAAATATCAATGCCAGTAAGTTGAACTTAGTAAAATATTAATGTCAGTATGTTGAACTTAGTAAAATTAGTTGTACTTTGTAAAATATTAATGCCAGTAAGTTGAACTTGGTAAAATATTAAAGCCAGTATGTTGAACTTAGTAAAATTCCAATGCCAGTAAGTTGTACTTTGTAAAATATTAATGCCAGTAAGTTGAACTTGGTAAAATATTAATGCCAGTAAGTTGTACTTTGTAAAATATTAATGCCAGTATGTTGAACTTAGTAAAATTCAAATGCCAGTAAGTTGTACTTTGTAAAATATTAATGCCAGTATGTTGAACTTGGTAAAATATTAATGCCAGTAAGTAGCATTTAGTAAAATTCCAATGCCAGTAAGTTGTACTTAGTAAAATATTAATGCCAGTATGTTCAACTTAGTAAAATTCAAATGCCAGTAAGTTGTACTTAGTAAAATATTAATGCCAGTAAGTTGAACTTGGTAAAATATTAATGCGAGTAAGTAGCATTTAGTAAAATTCCAATGCCAGTAAGTTGCTGTTGTTTGGGGGAGGGCTATCAATTCTATATCAATGTGCTGATATTGGAAACAAAAACACACAGAGAAAGATTTTTCTAGAAAATGAGAGTTTTCTATTGGTCAAATTTCAAATTCTGGAATATATTATTAGCCAATCGAATACTGATAATTTTGAATGGATTCTGATGTAAAGTATTAGATGAAATTTTTCTGTCAAATAGCGTTGTTTTTTTTTCAGAATGTTGTGAATTGTTTAATTTTTGTTGATAAAGATCTAACACTTGTGTAGCTAGTATACAACATGATTTCTTGTGTTGTTTTTCAGGTGAATTTCAGTGAACCTTTATCCATGTTACAAAGAATTACGGAAGATTTTGAATACGCGTCGTTGTTAGACGAGGCGGCGGAGTGCGAAGATTCCACGGAACAGTTAGCATATGTCACAGTGTTTACTATATCCTCATATTCAACTACTATAAATAGAACTACTAAACCTTTTAATCCATTACTCGGTGAAACATATGAATGTGATAGAACGGATGATTTAGGCTGGCGTTCATTAGCGGAACAGGTAACGATGAATCGTTTTGATTTTTTTTTTTTTCGACTTCTATAGTTTTGATTTTTTGGTACAAATTTGCTGTGTTTTGATATTTCGAAAGGTCCATTCTTATTTTTAGGGATTTGAATAATGTTGTGTTATATACTAAAATTAGGCAGTTATGAGTTTCACCCTGACCCCTCTTAATTTCTTAAATAGACTGTACCAATTTCCATTTTTTTGAACTGTCCATTATCAGTTTAAGGGATATCAAGTTGAAAATTAAAAGTAAGTCTGCCAATAGTATAGAGCTAGGTCAGAGTGTACAGATGTGCAGACTGGTCTGGCTCTATACAAGTTGCCTAGCTTATCACATTGGAAGGTTAAGGGTTAATATTAAATTCAATCCAATTATGTTGTTTTCCAGATGCCTGTGAAAAAAAGTTATTTGAAAAAAGAAAAAATGAAAGCTGATCATTAATAGATTTATATAAATATGCTGTTTCTATTAAGATAAAACGAAACATAGAATCTTATTGAGGTAAAGTCTGTAGGAAAGATTTTATTCATTTTCAAAAACCTTAGATAATTTATTTGCGATACAATGTTAAAGAATTTTAAATTTTTCTTAAGTAGGATAAAGTTATCAGGATAACAAAAGCCTTTAAGAATGAAAATATATAGTCTTTTAAGATGATAAAAAGAAAGAGAGCTGACTAATGCTGTAAAGTTTCAAATGCTCATTGGATGGGTAGGGGGACGGGGCAGAACAGTATAACATACAAGTACCTGCATGTTTACAACTTTACATTTGAAAATATTGTGAGAATTTATCCCCCCTGTTCTCCCAGCTTAAATGCACATCCACGTTTCTCCACCATAATTTTTTTGCTAGACTGTTCTATAGAGATTAGCCTGTGTGGCTACTTTTTAGCTCGACTATTCGATAAGAATAAGTAGAGCTATTGCAGTCACCCGAGCGTTCGGTTCCGCGTCGGCGTAACCACTTATGTTAAAGTTTTTGTAATAGTTCAAATATTTTCAAAGTCCATAGACATATGGCTTTGAACCTTTGCACACTTGTTCACCATCATGACCCCAACCTGGAAACAGGTGGAGGTAACTCTATCAAGCATTTTGACAGTATTATGCCCCTTTTTTGACTTAGAATTTACGTTAAAGTTTTTGTAATAGTTCAAATATTTTCAAAGTCCATTGACATATGGCTTTGAAACTTTGCACACTTGTTCACCATCATGACCCCAACCTGTAAACAGGAGGAGGTAACTCTATCAACCATTTTTTTTACTATCAAGCACTAAGAATAGTCGAGCGTTGCTGTCCTACCGACAACTCTTGTTTCAACCCTTAACCTGCTTGAACCAAGTGATTAGCCTATGCCACCAGTATAGAGCCAGGCCAGCCTGTACTTCCCTGTAGGCCTGACTAGGCTCATTACTTTAAGTAGCCCTATCGTCATATTTTTAAATAAACCTTTTTCGTTCCAAATTAAAAGTAGGGCAAAGCTGTACACAAATTCAGGAAGTTAAGAGTTTCAGGCTTACCAGTACTTTCTAGTCACTTATGTGGATTCAAATCCTGCCAGGGAAATTAGATGTACATTGTGAGGTAGCCATCCACTTAGCTTATAGATGATCTTTGATTTTACTTTTGACTGAAATAATGTCTAAATTAGTGGCATTTAGGATATGCCAGCATTATTTTAGGTATGCCACCATTATTTATGGTAGCTACCATTTTTTAGCTCACCTGCCAGGGTGAGCTTTTGTGATCGCTTTTCGTCCGGCATCCGTCCGGCCGTCCGGCATTCATCCGTCCATAAACTTTTACTTTAAATGACATCTCCTCATTAACCACTAAGCCAATTTCATCCAAACTTCACAGGAATGTTCCTGTGGTGGTCACCTTTAAAAATTATTCAAAGAATTTAATTCCATGCAGAACTCTGGTTGCCATGGGAACCGAAAGAAAAAACTTTAAATATCTTCTTTTAAAAAACCCTAAGAGCTAGAGCTTAGATATTTAGCATGAAACATCTTCTAATGAGTGTCTACCAAGTTTGTTCAAATAAAAGCCCATGGGGTCAAAATTGGCCCCGCCCCAGGGGGTCTTTGATTTTCCCGATATGCATATAGTGAAAACTTTAAAAAAATATTCTTTTAAAGAACCCAAAGAGCTAAAGCTAAGATATTTAATATGAAACATCTTCTAATGAGTGTCTACTAAGTTTGTTCAAATAAAAGCCCTGGGGTCAAAATTGGCCCTGCCCCAGGGGGTCATTGATTTTCCCTATATGCATATAGTAAAAACTTAAAAAAATCTTCTTTTATAGAACTCAAAGAGCTTGAGCTAAGATCTTAGCATGAAACATGTTCTAATCGGTGTCTACCAAGTTTGTTCAAATAAAAGCCCTGGGTCAAAATTGGCCCCGCCCCGGGGTCATTGATTTTCCTTTTATGTGTATAGTAAAATCTTAAAATATTCTTCTTTGAAAAAACCCATATAGCTGGAGTTTAGATATTAAGCATGAAACATTTTCTAGTGAGTGTCTACAAAGTTTGTTCAAATAAAAGCCCTTGGGTCAAAATTGGCCCTGCCCCAGGGTGTCATTGGTTTTAACTATATGTGTATAGTAAGAACCTAAAAAATCTTTTTTTTTTAAAAAACCCCAATGAGCTAGAGCTTAGATGTATAGCATGAAACATCTTCTAATGGGTGTCTACCAAGTTTGTTCAAATAAAAGCCCTAGGGTTAAAATTGGCTCTGCTGGGGGAGGGGGGGGGGGGAAGAAGGAGAGTGTAGATCGTTGTTTTTCATTATATGTGTGTAGTAAAAACTTAACATCGTGAAACATCTTCTAATGGGTGTCTTCCAAGTTTGTTCAAATAAAAGTCCTGGGGTTTAAACTGGCCCTGCTGCGGGTGCCTTTATACAGGTAAGCAACCTCAGGGCCATCATGGCCCTCTTGTTAAGATTTGCCACCATTATTCAACGTATGCCATGATTAGAAAGATTGAAAAGGTGCTGTATAAGATCTTAAACTGTTTGTGAAAGTTAAATATGATAAGATTGCCGACTAAAATTATATGACGGTATCATTTATTATTCAGCCAACAAGATTCCAACAGAATATAGTTTCACAAACTCTCCAAAATAATGCCAAAATGATAACCAGAGATTTTCCCATATTACTGATTTTCCTAATTAATCCTTTCATATTTTTCCCTATTCATGCCTACCTATATATATAATCATGATACACATATTGTTTACAGGTTAGTCACCATCCGCCTACTGCTGCCCTCTGTACGGAGGGTAAAAACTGGAGATTGTGGCAGGAATTCACAATGGGCAGTAAATTTAGAGGAAAATATCTTCAAATTATACCTACGGGTATGTGGTTATAGTGTCACTGAGTGATATGTGTGGGCAATTTTAGTGGTGTCAAACCGGATGAAGATGTATTTGTGACAAGAGATTAAGAAATTTTAGTTTTTTGGATAGAGTATAAAGGCTCGTCTGTCGCCATGAAAGAAAATTGTTTTATAGAATTATACAAAAATATTTGTACAAATTTAGTTTGTAAAGAAAGTCAGCTACTTTATAGCAAATATGAATTAAGGGAGCGTTGTATTACATATGATTGTTGAGCTTATTTAAAACCATTTGGAAAAAACATTTGTTTATTAAAAAAAAACATAGAATAGATATAGAAAAAAAAAAAAAGCAAATATTGAAGCATTCAAATTTTTGGGTGTCACAAATATGTCTTATAATGCATGTGTAATACTGTTACCATTATACAGACATTTTCATATCCAGAGATTCTGCAATAAATCCTTTTGTTATATTACTAGAAAAGGAAAAGCCCTCAAAAATCTGTTCTTTAAAGTTCATAGATTGAGAATAAAAAAAATATCTCACAAGTTGAGTAATATTTACAATGTATGAATTTGTATGAATCTTTTTATTATGGAAATGTCTTGTGTAAAAGTTTTTATTATATTGAGCTTGAATATTCAATGATTGCTTTTATACTATCCTCGATATTATATTCCTCCATATAGTGTCCATTTCTTGCTATATAAATCCTACCTTTGTATACATTTTTCACATTCATTGGGGGATAAACAAATTGGGTGGAGAGGGGGTTGGGGGGGGGGTGTGGTGGGATGGGATGGGGAAGAGTTCCTGAAATTGGGTTCCTCATTTTCTTTTTGATCACTACTTTTCTTTAGTTATATATGGTTATTTGCCAATATTTATATTGTATATAAATAGTAAATGAGCCACGTCATGACAAAACCAACATAGTGCGTTTGCGACCAGCATGGATCCGCGCAGTCTGATCAGGATCCATGCTGTTCGCTATCAGTTTCTCTACTTGTTAAAGAGTATGTAAGCGAACAGCATGGATCCTGATCAGACTGCGCAGATGCGCAGGCTGGTCTGGATCCATGCTGGTCGCAAACCCATTATGTTGGTTTTGTCATGGCGCGGTTCATATAATGTTTATTGTCATGGTGAAATCAGAAAGTGACAAGCTAACTTAACATGTACAGGTTAGTCATCATCCGCCCACTACCTCTGTACATACACAGGGTAGGAAATGGACACTGTGGCAGGAGTTTACTATGGGAAGTAAATTCAGGGGAGCTTATCTCAATATTGTCCCTACAGGTAACATTTAAGTTGTCTCCCTTTTACCTGTACAGTGGATTTATTGAAAATGATGGTTTGTAAACAAAAACTGGTTCCAAAATGAACTGGTTTACCCACTCATATTTTTGTTGTGATGATGTTAATTACTGGTTGTTCACAAATTAAATTGAGTATACTCTGTCGACTTTTATTCCCACTATTTACTGAGTAATTTATAAGAAGTTTATGTGAATGACAAAGGAGCTGACTATTACTAACTATGTTATATCATTTATTCTAACACGACCTACATTTATCCCTATTGAACATAGAAGAACCGAAAGTGTGTGTTATTATGCTATAAAATCACTGTTTCACATTCTATATTTAGACATGTGATGTAATCATTATACACGTGACGTAACCAATAAAAATGTGCCGTGCTGACAATAAGTACGGAAACAAATCGGGCGCAATTTAGCTAAGTATCAGGTACGGCAGCATGTATTTGTTGATGTCGTGTTAGAATCAAAATAATATATTCAAATCGTTGATTTTATTGCTTGATAAAATCGCTGTTTGTCGTTTGGATGCACATCATTATATCACTCGGGCTATGTCCTCGTGATATAATTCCTCGCATCTGAATTCCAAATAGTGATTTTATTGAGCAATAAAATCACAGTTTTGGAGATATTATTTCTTAATTCTTATTCATTTTATCCTGAAAATAAGCATATTAGATAATATAATGTAATTTCACTTCAGAAATTATGTGTGATGAATAGTCATTGTAGTAGAAATTGGTAATTACTGGTTAGTTATCCAGAAAAAAACTGGTTAGGTGGATCGGCTGCCTAGAAATGGAAAAAAAGATATGTAACATTGGTGTATTGCTGCCTAGTAATGGAAAAAGATACTTTAAAATTGGCATTTTGCTGCTTTGAAATCTAAATAGATTGTGAGATTAAAAAAAAAAAAGAGACAAATAATCTTAAATTTAACATGTTCTTTTTTTTCTGGTTAACAGGTATCGCACATCTCGTCTTTGAAAAATCTGGAAATCACTACACGTGGCGTAAAGTGACAACAACTGTGCATAATATAATAGTGGGTAAACTATGGGTAGATCACCATGGTGAAATGGACATTAAAAATCATAAAACTGGTGATAACTGTCACCTCAAGTATTACCCATATAGCTACTTCTCCAGAGACAAACCCAGAAAGGTACGGAAATGGTTTATGATTCTGAGTGTTTAACATACTGGTTTATCATACTGATTGTCATACTGGTTTATCATACTAATTGTTTATCTCTCTAAGTATAAATGTTTCTGTATTGGTTTATTATACTGGGTGTTTATCAAATTGGTTTATCATACTGGGTGTTTATCAAATTGGTCTATCATACAGGTTTATCATGCTGATTGTTTGTCATACTGGTTTATCATACTAATTGTTTATCTCTCTAAGTATAAAAGTTTTTGTGTTGTGGAGAAGATATTCAGTAAGTTTACCTCAAGTATTAGCCAAATAGCTACTTTGAGATAAACCAAGAAAGGTATGGAACTGGTTTATCATACTGATTGTTTATCATACTGGGTTATCATATTGAGTGTTTGTCTCCCTTAGTATAAATGTTCAATATTTGTAGAAAAAAATTACCTCGAGGAAACATGATGTAGTATTTGTAACAACTTTCTGCTCAAGGCATTGTATGCAGTATTTGTGATAATTTAAATAAGCATAAACATTTGTTAAAACTGTCTGTGACAATTACTGTGAATTCACATAATTTCATGGGCATGAAATTTCGTGGTTTAGACACAAAGAACATTTTCGTGGGTTCTAAAATTTGTGGACTGTTGGTTTTTTCCTCCAAAGGTAAAATGTAAATAATAGGATGCAAAATCATTTTTGCAGCAGACTAAATGAAGTTGCGTTTGATCTTATATTTGTGTGTTGACCTAGCCACAAAAACCTTTGTTATTAGTTCCCTACAAATAGAAATGATTTTGCAGTAACACATTCAAAAATGGTAACAATTTTCATAACTTCTGAACAGTTTTTCTGTTCAGGTAACACATGTTCAATATTTGTAACAATATTGTGTTACAGGTAACAGGAGTTGTAACAGATTCTAGTGATGCAGCTAAGTGGGTTATAACAGGAACTTGGGATACACAGATGGAAATTGCTCAAGTTTTACAAGTCGACGAGTCATCTAAAAGACCTGTGTTTCAAACAGGCCCTAAAAGAGTTTTATGGACACGGGTGTTACCTCCGTTAGTATGATTGATCTTTATTTTTCATACTTCTGAATTAACAGTATTTTCTAACGAATCTTTTACTTTTCATGCCCCAGAATTAGCAGGACAGGTGATATACTTTTAATGTTCATTAAGCAAGTTTGCAAATGTGTCTTTCTCCTTGAAAATCCACCATACCTAACATGTGTTGTATTTTCAACGGATCATATTTCCTGATATTTTTACTTTGTAAAAAATTTACATGTATTCAGGAATTCTGGATCAGGGGTAAGAAATATTTTTTTACTCTGTAAAAATATATATTGTACATGTATTCAGGATCATAATTGATGTCAGGGTTCTTATAATTAATTAAACACATATCTAATCGTGGTAACATATCTCCCTTTCTTTTTAACCTTAGGCCAGGGTCAGATAAGATGTACTTTTTTACACAACTTGCAATACAATTGAACGAGCCAGAGGACGATGTAGCGCCGACAGATTCACGGAGACGACCCGACGAGAGATTAATGGAGGACGGAAACTGGGATGAGGCTAACAGGGTCAAAGTTCAACTGGAGGAGAAACAGAGAGCAAAGAGAAAAAAGATGGAGGCCGAGGCCGAGGATTGTCTTAAGAGAGGTCAGTACCGAGGGTGGAGGGATGTGGTACTGTTTAGAGCCTAGAGCTGAATTTAGCTTGACAAGGCTAAAATTAAATTTTCTTACTTTTCCTCATACAATTTAAATATTTTAAAATTAACTCCTTGCAGGTGGGGTTAAAGGCTTGTAGGGTCAAAGTCTAAAAGATTTCACTTTTTTTGCCTCCTGCAGCTGATAATTAATGTGGTTTTAGCTCGACAAGGCTTAAAATAGATTTTCTGACTTTTTTATCATGCAAAAGCAATATTCTAACAATAACTTCTGGTGAATGCGGTTAAAAATTCGTAGTCAAATTTATTGATACTAAAAATAAAATTTGCTTTTTATTCTTCATAAAGAGATTTTCTTACTTTTTTGGCACAATTTCTTTGCTCAGTAATGCCACTGTTTATCCTGCATACAAACAACAATGTAATAGTAATGATTTGTTGTAGAATAAAAAAGAATATTTTTGTTGTTACAGGTGAAGAGCCACCTTGTCATAGACCGATGTGGTTCAAGAGAGAGAAGGACGAGATCACGGGAGAAATGATATTTAAGTCGACAGACAAGTACTGGACGTGTAAAGAGAACTCCGAATGGACGGGATGTCCGGATATATATCTGTGATAAATCAGATTCCTCTATGCTGATATATAAACTAATGAACGCGATTTGTTATTTATTATGTGATTTTGTTAGCCCCCAAATCCTTTCCTTCTATCCGATCCCCTCCTTTCCCGCCTTTTTTCTTAAGGGCATACAGGCAATATATATGTGGGAGGGGGAGGATAGGTGTGGACGCTGGAAGGACCTTTTTTGATCGGAACAAGATCACTTGTTCATGCAAGCACGATGATGTAGAAGTAATTACTGCACTTTGGACATTTATAGAATTATGTTGATTCAAATTTTGAATATCAGAATTGATAATTTTTCACAAAAAATTTCATGGTTACATTTGTAAACTAAAATTAAATCTTTAAAAATTAATAATCATACATTTGTCTGAAATGTAAAACAGAATAAAAAGTTAAAATTAAGCTTCAAAAATTTGAATCTACAAAGATTTGTGATCTTTTAATAGATAATTGCTTGGATTCTTCTGTGTTGAATCAGTGAAACTGTTTGATTGGGGTTTTAAACTTGGGAGTCTTTTGTTATTTTATTCTGAATACTTACTGTGACAATGTGTTACCTATGCTGTCATTATACAGTTGGGCAAACCATCACACACATACTGATATCTGATGACATTTGGTGTTCTGACATTAAAATACCTACAATGGACTGTCCCAAAAATCAGAGCAAGGGTTAAAAGGGTTAAATTTTAGTTTATAAATGCAACCTTAAATGTCATGAAATACAAGTGCACATTGAATGTCAAGATAAAGTTATTGCATTGTTGAATGTCAAGATAAAGATGTTTTGTTTTTTTAATGTCAAGATAAGGTTATTGAGTGCTTGAATGTTGAGATAAAGTTAAAGAACATTTGAATGTCAAGATCTATAATTTTTGAATGTCAAGATAAAGGAATAGATTTTTTTGAATGTCAAGATTAAGTTATAGAGCATTTCAATGTCAAGATATTGTTGAGTTGACTTGATGAAGATCATCATTTTTTCAAGAAAATTGAAAATGGAAAAAAATTGGAAAATTAAGAGAAGTTTTTGTTATAGAAAACTTACTTTTAAAGATGAGGAAATGTGGTTTATCTGTTGTGTTATTTATGTTTCAAACCTGGGTCCAATACACAGAGAAGAGTATAGTCATTGTAGACAGAAACAAAGTACAATATTGATAAAATGATATGGTTTGAAACTGTGGTTTATACTAAACTTTTGTTGTAAAGTTTTAGGAAAGATTAGATCCTGGTTTCATAAAATGACAGGGTTTGAAGATTTTTGAACATTACTGTACTACAAAATGACCGAAGATTTAGGCATGTTTTGTAATATAGAACTGTCCGTTACTAAGTGTTGCATTGTTTTGAATAGTTGGGTACAAATATTCAGTCAAATTTTTTATCATTGTAACTTTACCCCTTAACCTGCTGAAATGGACTTGTCCAGCTTTTTCAATTACTTTGGAAGTGTCCATTATCAATTATGGGGAAATCAAGATGAAAATTTTAAAGTGTTAAAAGTTACCTAGCCAACAGTATAGAGCCTGGTCAGACTGCATGGATGTGCAGGCTGGCCTTGGGTCTATATGTGTTGGAAAGGCAAAACACTTTCAAGTTCGGCAGGGTAAGGGTTAAAGTTCACAATGTTTAATAAAGAAAAATGTTAGTCAGTATCAGGAACCCTGAAAGCAATATCACAATTATATCATTATTTTGAAAGAAATGTTACTTATAATCACATATCCAATTCTATTCTACACATGTGTCATTTTAGATTTTCTAGAGCAATTAGTGATTCAATTTGTAATGGTTTTTTTTTTCATTTTTTTTTCTAATCCATGACTTATTGTATTGTAGACCCAATTATTTTTAGTTAGTTTAATTTTTCTAAAAAATTCATGAATCAATCTTTATCAAATTCCTAATTATCTTGAATAATAATGTAGAATTGGTTATATTTTATTTTATTCAGCAACAATTTTGAATATTTGAATAAAAAAAAAAACAACCCTTTTTGGCAAAAAAGAGAAATTTTGACAACATGAATTTTTAAGCGTTTTTGCCTTAAGTTACACTTATTAATAGAGTTTAGACATACAGTACAGTATTTTATTCTGAAGACCAGAGTTATGTAAATGCAGGCAAGAAAACACAATGCAACACTTGAAAAAAACCACACACATGAATAAAAAATGTTTGTACTTTATATTTGAAGTACCTAACTGGCATTGTTAATTAGTATTTATTTAGAAATATGATGATTTATGTTAAATTGTAAATATTTGAAATGTATTCTGTATATAATAGCTTTATTTCTTGGTTCACAGTGCTGATTCTATACCGTTGAAGATAATGTACACATGATTTTCCTTGGGTTTTCATTTCATTTGCTTATTTATGCCAACTTATTTTTACCTTCCTGTCCCAGGTAGTAGAACTTTAGAGTCACCCTTTAATCCATAATTGTGCAAGTATTTGTTGATGATTTCTTTGTTCAACATCTTAAATCAGTTCTTCAGTATTCACAGCTGTTAAAAGCAATTTTGGATGGTATTTGGGCTTCCAGTAAGGAAAGTGTGAGTAAGGTCATTGTTAACAAATAATCAGGTTAAGGAAATTGCGAGCAAGTAATTTCATCACTTGTATTTTATGTACACCTATGAAGAAGTTACAGATTGTATTCGTATGCTATGCTCAGTATTATTTTATAAAACATCATTTAACCCTAAAACTGCTGAATTTCTGAAATGGTTTTCTCCAGCTTCCATTTTTGCAACTCGCTTTGGAAACAGATTAATATTTAAATAAATTACAATTTCTCGGAGGTTGATAAACTTTAGAGTAAGAGATAGTCATTGGCCAGGCTCTATAATGATGGTAAGGGAATAATCACTTTTGGTTTCAGGAGATAAGAGTTAGAAAGATGTTCGATATTTCCTAATTACAGCAATGCAAATTGAGAATGAATGTCTTCTAAATTGTATCTAACCTTTTACCTGCTGGAACAGAAGGTGAGATGCCATAGCCACCAGTATAGAGCCAAGCCAGTCTGCACATCCATGCAGTCAGGTCAGGCTGTATACAGTTGATAGCTGAATTTTTGTATGGAAATCCCTTGAATATTGAATGGACTGTTCCAAATTTAAAAGCTGGGCAAATCAATTACACAAATTCAGCAGGTAAAAAGTAATAATGGGTAGAACAAGTTTTTTTTACTTGCTTTGTATTTCTAATGCTTTGATTTTGAAAGGTTGTTACAATGCAAATCATGATTTTTCTACTGTTGAGCTCCGGTCCCCAGATTTATCTGGTTTAAATTCTGGCTTCAAATTCTAGTGATCTAATTGGCTTATTTTTAATTCCTAATACAGAGTTTGACCAATGAAAATGAATGTTTTGTAATATTAGTGTTGTAACAAAGTTTTTGACTTAATAATGCTCGCAAATTGAATTATCTCCCCTTTTTAACATGTTTATATCTTGGCTTTTTTGTAAACAAACATGTACACTTTGTTTTTGTTAAAAAAATGATTTTAAAGCAAAGCTTTAGTCCTTATTATAGATCTAATTTTTTGGGTGTAATTTGGTAAGGCTTTGTATGTAGTCAATTTATTTCTGCAAAATAATTTTAAAAAACTTAATATGTTTAGTGTTATGTTAGGTTTGCACAAAAGGCAAGTTTATTTTTGACAACTATCCTCATAGTTATGTGCCCTTTGTAGAGAAATTGGCCATCATTGAAACTTAAATAGCCTCTGTGGGGCTCTTGTAACAAGCTTTTTTTCTTCACTGGTACCAAAAATTGAACATAAAATATTCATATCATAAAAAATAGATTTTTGAGACACAAAAAAGGCTTGAAAAGGGGTAAAATAAACTATTACATAACTAGTCACTTTTTTAGACTTTAACCTGCATGAATTAAAGTGATAGCCTGTGCCAACAGTTACTAAAAGAGCCATGCCAGCCTGCACATTTTGTAAATTTTTTGTGTATTTTGTTGTTGAAATCCCTTTGAATTTTATTGGACAGTTCCAAATTTCAAAACGGGGCAAGTCCATTATTAGAATATAGCAGGTAAGGGGTCAATAAGTCTGTATTTAATGTATATTGTCATAGAGTTTTTGAGCTGGGATGCATCATAAACCAATCTCGATGTATAAATTCATAATTTCATTTTAAAATAAAATACATTGGGTGCAACATATGCAACCAAGTTTGTGATTTAATATGCACGATCATCTCTGTTTATGTAAAAATTTGTTGACCGACTAATTCATATCAGCTTTAACTTGACTGTTTAAAAAAATTGGAAAAAGAGATTGCGTTATTGTCATAACCCCTTATTTGCATCGGCATTTTATTTAAGTTATGTTAAGGTTCAATTTACAGAAGTGTCAAAGATTTTTTTCTGTAGACTTTCTAGACTATGTTTAACAGCAGGTAATCCAAAAAAGGGAACATTTTGGTAAAAAGTTATGCCCCTATCTAAGCATAGAATTTTATGTTTATAAATTTTTTTTTTTTTTTTTTTTTTTGCATTAAGGTATACCTGGAAAACAGTTTTCATTTTCAAATTGGGGACTGTAGAAAAAAGTGGTGCATGCGGTCTCATAGATGGCTTTTAATATACAATGTATATTATAATATAAATGTATCCTTATATAAAACATGAGTAAATGATTTTATGTTATTAACATGATGCTTGATTGATTGGTTGGTCGGTTGATTGATTGATTGATTGATTGTAAACACAATTTAAATTCTGTTTTACTCTTAATGTGTTCATATACTACCTGCTTGAAAACATTGGCTCAATTAGTTTGCATTTTTATTTTGTTTTCATTTTGCTTTAACACCATCTTTCTGGAAAAATGTTAGGTATGCAGTTGCTTGGCTTACTCCTAAAATCCTCCAAACATACGAGATATTTCAAGATTTGGACTGGAAAAAAGAAGAATTCAATTTGTTCTTTGATATTGTTTATTGCAATATCTTTATTATTCCTAATTGAAATATCTTTGATATCATTAACCCTTTGACATATATTTGAAAAATCTTTTGTATTATCAACAATTGAGTTATCTTTGGTATTTTCTATTGAAATATCATTAAAAAGTAACTGCTATCCAGTATTTTTCTGAAGGATGGTTTCATGTTTATTTATTATTGTGATTGGCTGTTAAAGTGAGTGATGTTTAGTTAAGAATGTATATATAGTTATGTTTGACAATGTCTCTATAATTATGAACTCCAGGTTTACTATTGGTGCTTCTCGTAAGTAATATGCAGTGTCTAAACATGGAAGATTTCAATTTTTAGGCTTCTTGATGAAACATTTTGTTAGTAATTAACCTTAAACCTGCTGGATTTCTTTAATGGACTTGTCCAGCTTCCATTGTTGGAACTGTCCATTATCATTTTTTGGGGATATCAGGATGAAAATTTTATGTTAGTTAGTCAACAGTATAGAGCCTTGTCAGACCTGCACAGATGTGTCGCCAGCCTGGCTCTATACTGATGGCAAATGCTGATCACTTTCATTTCCAATAGGGTAAGTGTTAAAAAAAGACAGAATCTTATTTGCTCTTCAATGTGAAGGTAATAATTTATGTCACATCTTGCTAAGATTTTTTTCCTTTGATGTTTTGATTAGAGCACAAAATTCCTCTCTGTGATCAGTTAAGATGTAGAAACAGCCTGTGTTATGAAATAGAATAATAATATCTTGGGGTTCGGACTGGAATATCCGTCCCGAGCAGACCCACCCATGAGCAGGTTCCAGAGGGATGGATATTCTGGTCTGAACCACAACATATGTCAGATATTTTATCTTGCATATTCTATCATAGTCCATTGTATTTTATTTTATATTCTGATATACAAGAAAATGTTTCCCTAAAATATATGTACTTGTTAACATGCACACTTTACTGTCTCAAATAATAGGTTCTGAAGTAATAAAATTTGATAGACTAAAAAATTAAAAGATGAATGTTAAATTCTTGTTTAAAAGTTATACTTTTTTGAAGCTTTATAATCATAAGCCATACTTTTTTGAAGCTTTATAATCATAAGCCATACTTCTTTGAAGCTTTATAATCATAAGCCCTGTGTGATCTTGCCAGTAGTTTTTGTTAGGATAGAAAAAACTTAACAAAGAAACCCATAAAAATGGGACCTCGATGGCCAAGTTGTGACAGTCACGTAGCCTTAAAGTGCTATTTGTTCAAAGCATACCAAGGACTTTGTGTTCTGGGGTTTTTTTTATTTTACTAAAGGCTGAAATAATGCAGCGGGGTTAGGGGGACAATGGCTTTTGTCTTTTTCAACCAATCAAGCTGGAATATCATCCGAAGACTGACATAAAGACACAAGACTAGGTGAAAAAACCTAAACGCCAAATTCCTAAATGTGAAGAAAAAAATAAATAAAGATTATGATGAATTGTTAAAATTATTACACTGAGAAAAAATATTGATTATTTGAAAACAGATTATGTATTCTACTCAGATTTGTACTTATTTTTTGGCAGACATATATGGTTATAGAATTCCAAAGGCTTTACAAGTTTCCAGATCTATTTGTTTGTATATTTTGATACAAAGGACATTACATGATGTAGATGAAGAGTCTGTAGTTTAAATGAAAGTTATGTAATAAGGATTTATCTGGAACTCTGCAAATGGGAGTTATTCCCAGGGTACGAGCAAAGTTTTTTTTCCGATGCAGCTTGACAGTGCACTATCCTTCACAATAGAGTGACCAACACATTGCAATTATTATAAAAAAATGTTTTACAAAGTTGTAACTGTAAAAGTTTGTTCATACCCCAGGACAAATTTGGGAAAACCCGCATTTGCTGTGTTCCAGAATATCTCTGTTCACATGATGAAAAAGACACTTTTTCCTTACGTTGTTAATATTTAACAAATGCGTAATTCATGCTTGTTAAAGGGGTGTATATAGTTGTGTTGGTTTTATATGTAAGAAATGAAAAAATATGTGAAATTTCTTATCAAGTAAGTGCTTCAAGTTTTAACCTTGTCTGAATGCTTCGGTCTTTCTCTGTGACACTCCATGTGAATATCTGTTTGTGTGTATTACAAATCTAGACCAGAACTTGTGTATTATTTTGACATTAGTATTGGCACTGTCCTAGAGTAATATTTTGGTTAAATTGTGCCATTCCTTGTTTTAAAATTGATGCTGTGTTTTGTATTTATATTTTGTTGGGTGAGTACCAACTCATTTTGTTAATTATGTGAAAAATTGGCAATAAAATATGATCACCATATTAATAAATAAACAGTGTTGTTGTACTTATAAAAGGGATCAGGCCTTCATGGCCCAAGTGGATAAGGTCACTGACTTTGAGTCACTTGACCCAAACTGCTGTGAGTTCAAATCTCACTAGGGAGTTTGAATTCTAAATGTGAGAAAGCTATCCAGCTAGCTTACGGAAAGGTCAGTGGTTCGATCCGTTGCCAGGTTTGTGCCTGAAATAATGCAAGGAGAGGCAACTGAGGTCTTCCTCCAGCATTATACCTGGAAAGTTGCCATATGAAATGTATGACCTTACTAGTGCCAGTGTAACTTAAAACTCAATCAAACAAACATTTTACATATAAAATCACAACAGTCTTAATGTCCGTAAATTTAAGCTAGCTGTCAACTGATGCTTCCAAAGACTTGCCACCAGCAGTGGAAATGAGCCTTGTCTTTCCTTGTCTAGTAAGTCTTTCTCTTAAGACAGGAATTAACCTGGCTATTTTGCCATGGATCAAAATAATTACACACGTATTTATAAATATTCTTTATTTCAATATAACACAAAGTTTTACTGACAAGATAACAAAATAAATAAATATATAATAAACATTAACAATAATGGTAAAAAAACTTCTTAAAACTGTTGCTTTACATTAGAATCAATAAAGAAAACAAAACATTAAAATAAATACATATTTTGTACATTAATAAGTGTTTTTTTATTCATTCATTATATCCAAGAGATCATTTAAAATTTCACTTCTTTTTCCTTCATAAAACAAAAATTTGGTAATATCAGTTTTTTACAACTTTAAATAAAGTGTTCATACCCTTACTTTGACATTAAGGTATATCTACTAATTTTAAATAAATATAAAAGTAACAGAATTTTATTTCTAATAAGCGACTTAATTTTCTATATATTCCTATGACCCAGAAATTATACTAAGGACAACAAAACTTAAAAATGCCCTGAGAATAAGAGCGCTAAAAGACTTGTCTTGCGATCAAATGAATATTTATTACTGTAATAATAGAAAGATTCACACCATTTTGTTTAAATATAGCTTAATATATCAAATAACAGTTTTACGTTTTAAGCCCCGGGTGGTATATTGGAAATTGAAATTAATAGCATTCTTGTTTCCATTTCAATAACTTTACTTGATTGATATGATTATTCAACCATTTGTTACAAAGTCAATCTAACTGACTATCAAAGACAAACTTGTAACATTTAATTGTTTCAAAACTATGGAAAGTTAATACAATATTGTCCCTTTTAAACTTAATATATATTTTTTTTACATTTGATAGTTTTGATATCTGGCACAGAAAAAGTAGCAAAAGCATGTTTTATAAAGACTATCAAAAATAAAACTTATCAATATTGACAAGAAAAATGTTTTTTTACAAAAAAATGTTTAAAAAAAATAACATTCTTTTTCACTATTTCACTCCTTGAAAGTTCCGTCATGATCTCAACAAACAAAACCCACAAAATCATATTTCAGCATCCTTAAATTTCAGCTTCCTTGAATTTTAGCGTCCTTGAATTTTAGCGTCCTTAAATTTTAACGTCCTTAAATTATTCAACTTTAGAATCACATTATGGTTTTGATATCTATGAACTAGACCTTAGATAATAAGTTAGTAAGCTCGGCCTTCAGCTGTTACAGGTAATTTATTAAATCTTGTGGTCTTAAAAAGTTTTGTCAGCTCTTCATCTTCAAAAGACTCCTCTTTGAATACTTTCTTAAACTCTTTCCCTAGATTGACTGTATTATTGTTTTTATCTTTACAATCCCACTTCTCAGTGGCAAATGTTTCCAGTCTCTCTAGGTGGATATTTTCAATTTTGTCGTCTGCTGCCTGGTTTTTATTCTCATTGCTTTCTTCTGCCCACGCTTGTTTTCTGATTCTTTCAGGATGCTGATTTAATAAAGATAATTATCAGTTTTCATGAATTTCAAGAAACACTATAGCATAGCATAGAATAATATAGGATAAAGTTGGATATAGCATAGAATGGCAAATTCTTATATTCCATAGCATAGCCTATTACATATATAGCATAGAATGTCAACAGCATAGACTAAAGAATGGTATAGCATAATTGAGCATTGCTTTAAATTGCATAGCATTGCCTAATACAGCATCAAATAGCATATAGACTAGCATAATTTGTATAAGAATAAAAATTTGTTTGTTTATTTTAAGCAACATGTACATAAAACTGAAGGGAAACAAATATTTAGTTACTCTTAATGTTTCAACACAATTGCCTTTTAGTTAACCACACTTACTTTAAAATCTTGAATGACAAATGTTTTCCCTCTATCTTCTGTCCATTTGAGTTCATTCTCTATAAAGAAAATAAGGATTATTAGGTACTTCTTCAACACAGCTATATTTTTCGTTTTGAATAGTACTAAAGGGTTTATCATTTGATATTTTCTTGGTTATAAAACAAAATAATATAACCAAAGGGCCTGATTTTATACTTATTGTCTCTTTATAACAAAAACACAGAATAGACTTAATAGACAGAATATGGAACATCGGTGATTCTGCTCAGATGCCCGTTTGTGCCTGAAATGATGCATGGAGGGGCACCTGAGGTCTTCACCAGTAAAGAAAGTCGCTATATAACCTATACAGTTTTGATGCGATGTGAAACCCAATAAAAGATATAATATAGCAAAAAATAACAAAAAAACAAAGAAATAATTTCTTACCATTTTTACTGGCTTTCTCCAATGCAGTGACAAGTTTATGATGTCCTAAATCAATCAAAATGTTTTTAAACTTTGCATATGAATCTTTTCCGCTTCTTAATAAATGGTTGATGAAAGAACTGCAATTTGACTTTTGCAGACGGCATCTCGTATCGCAAATGTCCTGCCACACTTCTCGTGTAAACACCTTCTGTTTATAAAGTTTGTCCGTTATTATGTCCACATCATCTTGTAATTCTTTTTGTAAAACAGTCAAATTTTTTGTAATCTTCTTCTGATCTATGCTATTCATATTGCTGTTATTTGTTGTTGTTTTTTGCACAACAGTCTCTTCTTTTGTAGATGTGAATCAATTTAAAATTAATTTTTCTCCTTGCACAATTAAGAATTCGTCTGTAATACCAAATGAAAATGAATTCCTTTCTGTACAACTGGAAGACTTTTATACTTTCTAAAACAAAGCACCCATATCAAATTATGTTTTGATCAGATAGTTTTTAGGTAGTGGTGGGTAGATTCATTGTCTTAAAACATTATTGAAATTCCTCGTTCGCGTTCATTTTCAATAATAACATAATCTAAACGCCAAATATTTGAATAATGTGTTATCTTATGAAATTAATACTGCTGAAATGGCATAATATATGACACCAAATATGTGGCACGATTCATTAAAACAGGGTTTAATCAGTAGAATGACTTTCCTTATGTTCCGCATCTACAAACACAATCTCGAGGATTGATTAGATTCTATTTTTGTTTCAGTTTTTGTTACACTTACACTTTTACATTGTAATGGTCAGATTTTATTACATACTGAATAATTATTGTTTTGTGGTACTGACCTGTAACATTTGAATATCAAGTGTTCTTTACTCTGCTAATTTGTCTCTTTCCGGAGTTGATCATACAATCCATAAAGCTGCATGCCTCCAGATGAGACAAACTATTTCAAAAAAATCAAACGTGAGAAAAATGTACTAATATTTTAAGAAAAGTAAAAAAGATTTAAGATTAAAGTACTAATTTCCATATTATGTGTGATAAATAACCGATTTGCACATTTTTTAATCTATTTCTACTGCATTACTAACAGAGTAAGAGCTATTTTTGAATATTTTGACCTCTTTTTGGTAAATTACAAAGGCTGTAAGTGCCGCTTGCAAGGTGTAAATTATTTTCTTTGTTCACTTCATACTATTTTACTTTTTAATGCGTTTTAAAAGTTTTTAAGAAAATTACCAGAAATCTGGAGGCGTGCTACTTTAAAAGTCAGGACACCATGTGTTATATGTAATTCATGCCTCATATAAGCCTTAACGATAATGTCTGAGAGTCAATAAAGATTACGGGTTCCAATTGAGATCCGACTATAATTTTTTTTCAGTATCTGACTATTATGATATAAAGTAATACACATGCAAATCAAAGATTGTCCCAAAATCACCATCATATTTTCTCATTTGTGTGTTGTTTTTGTTTGTTTTGTTTTTATTTTAAATGTAGATAAATACAAATTCAGGAAGCAATGTGGACAAGCACTGACACTTTTGGTATCCTGCCATATTTCTAACATATATGACTCAGTGTTTTTTTAATGCATTTAATGGTGCGTTTAATTAAACTGCACCAAAACTTGTTGATTCTGGGCCCTTTATTTGTACGTAATAACAGTTTAGTGTTACAAACCTGTAGCTGCAAAATACAGATTTGTTTTAAATAAGAGAGATTCAAGTTTGATATAGAGCCAATACAATGATAAGGAAGAATAAATAAAGTAATTTGGAGGATTAAATAACAGTTTTCATGTTTATGTCTACATAAGGCAAAACTAGCTAGAAATGTGTCCATAGGTCACAAATGCCCCCACATTACACTGTTTTATAGACAGCGTGATAGTAAGACTCAACTCCTGGCTACCAAGTAAAAGCCCATTTTATTGTAAGTTGAAAATTTTATAGACAGCATGATAGTAAGACTCAAATCTATATGTCCCCTCCTGGCCACTAAGTGGAAGCATATTAAAAAGCCCATTTTATTATAAGTTGAAAATTTGTAAACCTGTAAAAATATATCTGAGCAATACGTTGAGGTACATGTTTTTTTTCAAGAAACAGCACCTTTTTGGAATCTCTATACACAAATTGATTTACTTAGAATTCACTTTATTTCATTGGCATGAATTTCATGGTTTTGTCAGAAAGATTTTTGTTAGTTCTTGAATTTGTGGACTGGTTTATTTTTATTCCAAAAGGTAAAATGTAAATAATGGGATACAAAATAATCTTACAGCAGACAAAAGGGAATTTTGTTG